AGTCCATTTAAACTCAAACCATTCCATATCTCATGTCATAGAAACCACTGCAACCTCTTACCTTGTTGATTTTCTTTTAACATCATACAAAATCTTTATGCCCACTATCAATGCAGCAACAATACTGCACTTGGTAAAGTACCTGCAATACTAGTACAGTACCTAGTCTTAAAATACTAGGAAAAGTGGTATTCAGTACCCTACCTGAAATTAGATACTGTACTGGGTACAGTTTCCTAAGATAAAGTTACTATACAATTGACCCTCCAGTACAGTACTGCCTACCATCAGAAGGTACTGTACAATACTAGTATCACAAGGTGGCACATAGGTACGGTACTATACTGTACCTTGAGTAGGTACCAGACAGTATTGTCACGTACCTGCTAAAGTACCTGCAAACTCAAGAGTAACAGAAGTAATATTTACAGATAAAATACATGTATTACTGAAGAAAACTGGCAAAAAAGAAACAACTAGACAAGAGACATATTATTGAAGATGAATGTAATGCATGAAAGGAAAAAAATTGAAATATAAACTGGGTAAATCAAGGAGAGACAGAGAGGGGGTTAAATTAGGTACTTAGCGGTACTTTACTGAGTATAGTACCTAAAATTTGGATACCGGCAATCACAGTACAGTTATTGTACCTCAATGTGAGGTACTATACCCAGTACAGTACCTTTCAAAAAATACTGGATTTCTGGACCCATAGTAAATCACCGGTCTGCCAGGTACTGTACTGGCAAAAACAGGTACTAGTACAGTAACTGTTGCTGTGTTGCCACCATCTATCTAATAATTGCCAATATTATTCTTACTCTCCTCAAACTCTCTGCCAATGCTCCTTGCTGTTGTAAATCACTTAAATTAACTGGATCTACATATTGTAACATCACCTCCAAATGTTGGCTACAATTTACAAACTCTTATTCCACTGAAGTCAAATCCCGTTTGTTGAACGTGGCTGGTCGTATGGATGTCTACAACATGGTCAGTCTCTCAGACAACATCCCTTCCACAGATTTATATCTCATTATGTCTCTACTCTTTTAGTTGGCCAAGGACTCCACTTCAACTTACCCTGAATGATGGTAGATTCTGCATTGATAGTTGTTGAACAGTGTTGAACATGTATTCTGATCACATTTGAACTCTCCCGTAATTGTTACAAATGAGTATGTGTATAAATTTGCCAATTCCTTGTATGTATGCTCAAATGTCTTTGCTTGCAATTGAAAATTGTATCATCTGGTCAGATATCCAAGTATAATTGTGGCCTCTACGGCTGAGGCCCGCACCTCATTCATGCAGTTATTGAAAGAGGTAGTGTGTTCAACAATGTCAACAGTGTATGGTTTTGGGAAGTTGCTCATTAACTGTGAAAAAACTTGTTTAGATTTGTTTGACAGTTGACGTTGTGCAGGCACCCCTGCTGTTCTCTAGTGTAGACTTAAAGATTGATGTGATCTTTGGATGATGAGGGGTGGGGGTGATGCCTCAGACAGGATCTGCTTGAGCTTTAGTCAAGGCAATTTTGAATTGAAGTTGGAAGAATAGTTTGGATCTTTCATCCCAAGAGACTTTTGGTGGTGGTGAGGTTGGGAACCCACTAACTGTTTGCTTTGTCAGTGCTAAGGTCTACTTAAGTATCTTGGTTTGTAACCCGGTAGACAATATGAGTGAGTAGTTGTTTACCATTGGGGCACTTTCTACATCTAAATGTGTGATGCTCCCAGGATTGATAAAATCACAGTAAAAGCTGAGACCGATTCAGAATAATATTACATTCCATAACACAATTAACATTGCAGCAGTTAAAATGAAACAACACACCAAATCAGGTAATCTCATAAGTGTTTTGACCAGAACAGCTGCTGCAACAAGGCTGATTTCATGCATACACACACATACACTGGTATCCCAGTTCATGCCCAGATTCTATGGAGGGGTAAAATTCAGTGATTGAAATAAAAGATTCTGTCTTGTAATGAACCCAAAGACAACTTGCAGGCCTATCAAAATTTCTACTATCATCACACAGCTACTAGTCACCATCATCTTAGCATGCTGAAGACTACCAACCTCAATAGGACAATCGTTATGATAATAGGGATGATGGGTCATCTCACTCAACATATTGCAAATCCAATGCAGCAATACCCAAGAATGGCAAATAGAATCTCACATGAAATCAATCCTAAAGCCCAAGGAAATGGATTTTGTAATGCCCAGTACTTTGATCCCACTGGGCCTATTCCTGATGGTTGGATGGTTTATGATTCAACAACAATGATACCTCTCTTCAGGAGCAAAGAGGGTGCTTTGTTGTATCATCAAACTCATACATTTCAACCTGCAGTTACCTCAAGTGTCATGGGAGATAGATTTCTCTATCAAGATAATTACTCTTGCAAAACACATGTAGGTCTAAATAATTTAAGAAAGCTCAAGGGATACAGGGAATTTCACCCAAATTCTTTGAGTAATGGAAAATCACTGGACACACACTCAAAAATGATTTACAATCCAGCCATTACCATTTCTGATAGTTCAGGGGTTGATCAAAATTCATACAATTCACATCTTCTGAGGCTGTCAAGTGCCCCAAAAACTTTTAAAAGGCCCCAGTACGTCCCAATTGATTTTCTGTGCCTATATTGCCACAGATCTGAGGGTACTAATACTTTTGATATATGATTTATTTGCACATATTTAGGATGAAAGAGTATACAAAGATTGGTCTAATTGATGAAGATAAAGCCAAAGTTTTCAAAAACTTTAAGGAAAAAAGGTGTGTTGTGCTCATTGTGTTTTTGTTGATAAGGGGTATTGAAATCCTTGGTTTTATTTTTTTTGAAAGTCAAGGCAATTGGGAGTCTCACAGTACATTGCCAGATTTCAACCAATCAAATTTGAGGCAAGATGTCTCAGAATGCCTCAAGTCTTTGGAAAAATCTTCCATACCAGAATTCAAAGGAAAATTCTGCAAAAATGAAAATCAAGAAGACTTCAAGATCAAGAAGAGCAATGAGTTCTCCATGGAAAACACATATCTATCATCAGGGTCTGATCCAAAAGGCTATCTACAAGCAGTGAAATATACTCACAAATCAAATCTGGTGAAAGATGGAAGAACTCACAAAAGACCTTCAATTTCTGATTCCAATACCCAACAACCCCAAGTAAACCTGAAGACAGATCCATCCTATCACGTCAACAAGATCCATAAGGATACAGGAGGAAAAACTGATGATCCTATGTGTGAAACACAATCAAAGGAGGGAATCAAACATTCAACAGAAGACAATAGAACCTTCCTCCTGGGTGACAATGGAAAGGAGATGTATGCAGATCCAGAGGGACACCTTTTGGGAACACCATCTGATAAGCTTATTGGGTTGCAGACAGTTTACAAACTGAATCATCTAGCCAAGACCAACAAAAACAATATTCCTGGCTTAAGGAACATTCCAAAAGACAGAGCAATAGATGGAATCACTGAAAGAGATAATTTGTCTAGATATACCATTGGTTTGGAATCCAAAGCATCTCATGAACAATGGAGGATAGTCCACAGCAGAAAGAGCAAGACAAGAAATGCCTTTGCAGAAAAGGATTGTCATCCCCTGGAAGAGGCTAAATCCACAAAAGAATTAGCAACAAACCTGGATGATATTTCAGTCCAACGTGGAGACCAAAATACGCAAAAGAAATTGGAAAACAATAGTGTCAATGATCAACCTTCTATTGCTTCCCTTACAAAACCTCTGGAGATGAAAGACATAAAGGACAAGGCTTCTTCAAATGATGCACACCAAATGCAAACTATGATTCAAAAGGAATCAGATTTGGCCCCATTGAATCAAGCACTCAAGCATAAAAAGAAACAGCAGAACAAGACTAAGGTTTTGACAAGATCTACATCCAAAATGGATAGTAGAGTAGGGAGTTCTGATGCACATAATGAAGATCCTAAAAGATTATCACCCTGTGATATGGTTGATGACATGATCAAGCTCCAAGATAACAAGACACTATTCTCAAAGATATTATCTAAGATATTATGTGATGACAATAAGAAAAACTTCTTGGACATTCACATGGATCCCAAAGATTGCAATCAGGGATTTTTACTATCTGCCTCAGAAGATAAAGGCCATATATTGGATGACCACATAGAGAAGATGAATGAAGTGATGGACCCTGATGAAGCTTGGAGGAGGTCACAAACTTTAAGGAGATATATAGATCAGGAGAACATGATCCTGAAATGGAAGCACAATAAGGGACAACTTGATCAAAAAGCTTATGCAGTAGCAATGCTTCTCAAGATTGGGAAAAAATGGCCAGTGTTTTATGATACAGTCACAGGCAAATGGGAATTGGTCAAATCAAGATGGGATAAATTGAATGACATGCAAAGAGATTCACTGAATTCTCTTATGGCTGTTGATGAACAAGTAGAAAGGTTAGCCACAATATCTATTATGGAGAAAGTAAATAAAGATTGGTTTAAATCACTTTACAGTGAGTCTGACTTGCAACACTTGAAAATGCAGGGTGTTTCCATCCCATTACTGTTTAATATAATACACCACATGGATCTGAGTAACCCAAACAAGAGCATCAACTGGAGACAAATGTCCAAAAAGGAAATCTCAATCAAGGGGAAGGAGATATTGAGTGTGATGTGTGGATTCATGTGGTTATCAGATCGATATTATGACACTAATCAGAAAAAATGGGTTGCCTCACGTCTACGTCATCTAATTTTAGAAGATCCAAGATTGTCACTTCTTTTTCAAGCAAGGTTGAAATTCTTAGTCAACAATACTCATAATGTATTGTTACCTCTTCACAGTATGGAATGGGAGGATGGAATTTTGAGAGATGTGAATGGATTATTGGACTTGGCAGAAGGATTGACAGCATTGCATTTTGGAGTATCAATTGAGAGACTTGTTCGGCTTAAGTATGAGTCAAACTTAGAGAAAGAAGCTTTACAGAGCTCCAAACTAAAAGATTTCATTGGTCAGGATGGCAAAAAATTCTACTGGCCAACAATTTTCCTTGGCAAGTGGGATGAATGGAAAGCTGAACTGCAGCCATATTTTCAATTTCTTGGGGTGAAAGTCTACTTTGGGGGTTGACTAATGTTTTTTACATGACATGTTCACTGTAGATACATTTTGGGAAATGTGTATTTGTTTTATTGTCACAAATATTCTTGTGTTGTTTTTCCTTCAAAAACAATCTTTGAGCTCACAAATTTTAGCGCCTACATATCTATTTCAGAAATTAGGTGCTGGAGAATAGTGCCTGCATGCCTAAAGAAACATGTAAGTGCTCGAAAACTAGCACCTACATGGGTTTGCCATTGAATTCAAGATGTGGCTGCCTGAAAATACTGTCTACATGGGGGTCTCAAGTTTGGACAGATGAAGGTGCTGGAAACTGTCCCTAAATGGCAAAATGAAGATGTCAACACCATTTCACATATTTCAGTCCCAGTCCACAGAATGTAGACTGTGTTTTGAGGGAAATAAATTTGTAGGTGCCATTTGGGCATATTTTGGTAGCATTTACAAGTTTGATTGTGGGTCTCATCTAGCAATATCCTTTATATACCCACCTCTGTTTGTCTTCAGAAACTTCTAATTAAAATTTGCAATGGTTGAAAACAAAAGGATGATTGATAACTATACAGCGGTCAATCATGATTTCAAATGCCTAACATGAAGCTCTTGTCTCTTGCAGCGTCTTTAGACCTAATCCATCAGCATTTCCTAAATGCAGTTGAACAAGGAAAAGGTATCAAGTCATCATTAGAACAACTACCAAGATCTTGATCAGGATCAGAAATAAGATCTTACCAGATGAAAGCAAACAAATAGACATAAGATTGTTACCAGATGAAAACCTTGCCTTGGAGCCAAATTCTAATTTGGATCTGAGCTCAGCATCAAGAGAACCCAAGCAGTACCCGGGTAAGCATTTGCACCTTTCACAGAAGGGGCTGAGGATCTGTACAAGGTGCAAAAGGGGTGTTTGCCAGCTTGTAGTGGTGCAAATTGCTTTTCCCTGTAAGAGTTTTGAATGGGTAAAGCTTTGGTGTGATCAAAAAACAAATCATACTGGTCTACTTTTTTGCAAAGCAAAAAGATGTGTAAAAAGGTTGGCTGGTTATATGAGTGGCTTTGATATTGCTTTTGAGCCATCTTTGAAGCATTCCTAAAATTTTGAACTACAAGGAGGTATTGGGTATGATGTCCACTCTGGCGCTTTGCATGGGCACTGCACAACACCCCTGCGCTATAATACCAGGCAGCGCTACTGGGCGGTATCAGGCAGCTGAGCCGGGCAGACATCTGCTATTAAAAAGTGGCTCTCAAAGGTCACCTGTTTACAGAAAACCCAGTCAACCCAGTTGACTTTCTGGCTGGGACCTGTCAACAAATGTCAAGTTGATACACAAAGTTACCACCAAGAGGCAACTGGGTCAACTAGCTTTTGTTGGAACTGGGTCAACTTTGAGAGCCACTAAAGTGCATACAAAAGGCACTATTTTTTCAGGGACTTGACATTGGTGGTAGCATTGGTCAAAACCTGATACAGGGCCAGCCTGATAACAGAACACGGTCACACTTGAGGAGAAATGGGAATGTTCCCTAGGTATCTAAGGAACATAGTTCCTACGCCCAAAGGGTCAAATGAAATTCATATATACTCCCTTTATGTCTCACTAGTCCCATGTACAGACACAGCAGCAACTCATACAGCTGGGGCTCAGACATCTGTCGGCCATCAGCAACCACTTGCGGCCGTTCTGGTGGCTTCTCACCCACCCAAGTTTTGATTCACCATCCCTCCCTCAGAGTTGGCTATAACCTAACATATGTGTGTCACGTGTTGTGCTGAGTGTGTGTCCAATATACCTGCACTCAATTTCCTTTTGTCCTCAGTTGATTTGTATGTATCAACTACATGCAATAACACCAATAATGATATGAGCTTTGAGGTTTGGAGAGCTCAAGGATGTGTTTCTTATGACCAAAGTTAATCCCATATGTACACACAATGCATGTTATAAAATCAATTAATTGCTACAGTCAAAAAAGCACAATCACTAAGAAGGCACAAGGTGAGGCAGTAGCTGCTTCTCATCCTCTATCACAATTGAGATTTGATCTTTGATATAGGTAAGAAAAGTTATTATCCTGTAAGCTGAGATCGAGTGAATTTTTGCTCATCAGTGATTGATTCAAATACATGACATTGAATATTTCAATCATGATTTGGTCCAGCTCAAGTGTGGATTCACAAAGAATGTTTGCACCTTGAGTGAGTTGGTAGGGGGAGTTGACTGAAGATGAAAGGAAATCAAGTGCAGGTTATGTACTATCTTCACTGTCTCAATTTTCAAACCCATTGGTCTGTAGTCTGACACTGCGGTTGGCAGGGATGTGCAATACTTGTGTGATACTTGTTTAGGAATGTTCCTTAGGGTTCTTAAGGAACCTTTTTTAAGGAATGTTCCTAATTATGCGCGGATGCGACCATGCCCTCCGTGATAAAGCAGGTGTGTGAACTGCACTGCTGCCACTATCTTGGGCAGGCAACATAGGTGTTGTTGCAGATCACACATTTTTCGGGCTATAAGAGCATCCCCAGCCGTGTCATATATCGGTAATGTACGGAGGGTTGCGCAGATTGTTTGAGGAACTGTTTGAGGTGTGAAATCTGAAGCATGTACAGCCATGGTTCCCTACAGTTTGGCTTGTAGCATGATTTGGGAGCTGTGTTATGGCTTAGATGATTATTGAGGTGCGTGATTTGCAGAGAGTCCGATTGTACAAGCCAGAGTTTATGGGAGAAGTGAGGTACATAAGGGTTTAGGATGTGTGCGGAACAAGAACATATCTGGCCTATCTTGACTTGCACGTAGAGAATTTCCCAAGCAAAGTATGTGTTTGGGGGTAACAGCTGTGGATAAAAATACCCCAAATCCATGTATGGCACGGTTTACGGCACACGGCTGGGGATGCTCTAATGTCAAACTGAACCTTCTCAAAGCCTAAGGGCTAGACAGATGGTTGTGCATAGCTTCTGAGTGGGTGTCTGCAACCACTGGTTTACATGTTTTGGAATCATTGATGAGAAACACACAGTGTTCTCGAGGTTACGCGGAGGGACAAAGTTGATGTTTTGGAGCTTTAAACATTGAACACAACAAAAGGGAGGGAATGGTGTTCTTTTCATGAAAATGATGCCTAATGGTCTACTGGATCAATTTTGATTACATATGCAAGGGATTTTGGTACAAAAAGTGTGGGAAGTAAGCAGAACATTGTTACAGCAAATGACGAGGAGACTCGACCCAGTGTAACAAGCAGTTTTCATGGATATGACGCTTCCGGCGATCAAAACTGTTTTCATTGGGCAATTGATGGTCTTACGTTGTGAAGTTGGGGCGAGAAAGTGTGTAAAATGTGGTTTTGCATATTCTCAAGGTCATCACCGCTGGTTTGGAGAACAAATGAGGTTTTTTTATTTATGCATACAATCATGGAAAATATTCAGAGAGCTAACAGCAAAAATCAAACAACGCAAAAGTGGAAATAGGTGGAAGTGATTTATAAATGTTGACATGGACTGTGAGGTTTCAGACGTAAGATCTTACATTCTGGACGCAGCTCTTTTCAATTGAGGAGCTTGAGTTGAAATGAAACAGTCACATCAATGCCACAAAGTGCCGAGTTCTTCAAAGCTCTTCCTTCAGGGCCGTGAAAATTGTAGATTGCATCAAGGCTTTGGCTGTCTTGTTGTCGTTGGCCACATAGAACGCTTGACCACCAGGAAGACGAGATTTGTGAGACCAATGAGATTGTGGATCGCTTTCCAAAAGAGCATGAGCTTGGTAGCTTGGCCAATCGGGGCCATGAATGTACATGCCGTAAGAAATTGCCAGGGTGGCATACATGCTTGCTTTGTCAACTTCTCCGTACGAATTGTGCGTAAGCGCGGCAAACGTGTAGGCCTGATCCATGGACGCGTACATATGCTCCTACAATGATTAGACAGGGTTTCTATCAGTTCAAAGTGACTTTGACATGAAAGTAGAAAGTCAGCTTACCATCTTGTAGAGCGCGACAAGATGCTCAGCCATTGCAGTAGTGGGTGGATCTTGCGTCATATTCCAGTTGGCCAATTTTTCGGTCAATTCTTTTATCTTTAAGATTCGGTCATCTGAGACGCGGGCGCCCCAAGGAGGTAAGCTGCATTGTGAGCATCCGCATTTAAACCCGTAATGATGCTGAAGGGTGGCTTGTCGGACTTCCCAAGAGAAATCAAGTTGGAAATCTGTACAAGAGGGGCAATATTAGCAACACTTAGTTCCACCAGTATGTAGTGTGAGTAAATACACTTACAAGAATCGAACAATTCTTCGCCAGGCGCAATGTCTCGGACGGCGTACATTTCGAGTTGCAGGGTTACATCGTCAAAATAGAAGGCGACATTAGGACGACATCCGTGGTTCAAGTCTGTTAGAAAGCCAAGTAGAGGTCAGTAAAGGTGAACATGTGATTAATGGAAAACAATAGCTCTAAGACTTACACTGCAATTGAAGAGCGTCAACGACAGGTGGAAAGTTGGGGTAGATCTTCGTCAGTAAAAGGGCAGGCCAATCAGTTGGGTATATGCTGACTTACAGCTGGCTCGGGAATAAAGGCAAATCCACCTTCACCTTCGTCATCCTGACTGGCTGAGAAGACGTTCCGATCAAAAGCCGAGGCCACCCATTCTAGCTCGGTGTCGCCCACACCGTGTTGTCTTGCGAAGAGCTCGCGGCCTTTGATGGGAAGGTGGTCCACCATTTCTTTCAAAATAAGCTTCCACTCGTTTCGCGGCCAGTGGTGAGATCGGGCAAAAACGGTGACGAGAGCATGATCGGTTACGACTTTATCGCCCAACTGTAATTTCTTGGTGGCCAAACTTCCAAGTCCTCCTTTGTGGGGCATGTGAACGATCTCGTAAGGGAAAGCAGCTCGATCTGCGTCAGTGATAACATTTTCTTCTGTCTTGAAAACCGAGAACTCTTCAAGCTTTTGAGTCAAAAAAGATGGTCTGATGAACAGAACCATTCCTCGATTGTTAGAAAAGCTAGGGTTGGCGAATATACAATAGGGCTCGTCTTTGGCACTTTTGGGACGCTGATGACAACTTTGTTTCACAAAGCCATCCAGGCTGGGGTTGTCCGCGGTGGGTCCCCGGGTATGAACAGTGACTTGCTCGTAATCGTACATCAATTTTCGTGCGTAGAGTGGTGAAGATGAATTATTGGAAGTTGATGTGGCTTTCGGTTTCAGCTTTGATTGACAAGTGTCCATGCTTCCGGAAATGTTGCTGAGAAGCGCAGACGGATTCAAGAGAGCGTGGAATGTCAAGGGGGAAGTCGATGGTGCATGTGATGAACACAAAGTTTGTATATTGTAGAATAAGATGGCATGCAAAACTATCGAAGTAAGTCGGGATCGAGTAGACATTTTAGAAGAGCTTTCTTTGGTGGAGAGACTGGCTGGCAGGGTATGCGAGAATTCGATGCAAAGAAGATATAATAATAATGAAATAGAGATGGGGCTGAGGAACCTGTCCTGTGATGAAATCGTATGCGTAAGGTATGAGGTTGGTGAACTGATAAAGCTGAGGGCGAAGACAAAGATGCCAACTCAATATTTATCCTCATTTGGCATCTGGAGCATCCAGCAATCCTAGAACATTCATCGTTCAAGCCTAGATCAGTTTATTTCTCGTGCTCCATTCCAGGAAGTGTGCCAATCAGCATCGCACCAAGCGAAAGAAACGAAGTTTGCCTTGCCAGAGTGGCTTCCTTTTGATCAAACCAGATCATAGAACATACAGGTCATCGGAACGGCCTGGTGAATGAGCCGTTGCATGAAACCAACCCAGGCTATTGAAGAGGTCAACGTAGGAGAAGGCAGACGGCACGCGATGTAATGAATGTCAATTCTTTGGCTGTCAACTTCGGGGAGTCAAAAAATGCCGCGAGTTTCATCAGCCTTGGGATAGACTTGAGGCGTTCAACGAAAGTCCCCTCTCGGAGACGAGCGATCCACGCGAGGCCCAGGGGGTAAGATCACAGGATCATATATTGACGAGATTATAAGCTGAAATCGTATTGGGCTTCTTTATAATGTCATCTTGCGCCTTCTTTAGGATCCATAATCGCCAAATTTGACCTTGGATAGTACGCGAGCTTATGCTGGACACTTGGTGAGGGAGGAACTTTGATGAGTTTACATAGTCGTTACAGGAGGTTGAGCTTGTGGAGCAATTAAAAACGCATGACCCCCTCGCGCGTCACGACTCACAGGTCTTCACTTTGATAAGTTTAAATGAATGCTCATTCCCTTATATAGAGCGGATACAACCGCATCTCAACGATTGGTTTACCAACGGATTTTCACCTTCACCTCCTCCATTTCCATTTCTCCTACAGCTCCCTTTATGAAGACATTGAGGGTGCGTTCACTTAAGCAATTTCTGGTGAGAGATCACATTCTTCAAAATTTGAAGTGTCTATTTGGTGGCGCATGTTTCATTTTTGTATTAAAAAATTCACAGAATGTGATTTCTGGTCAGAAACTCCTTAAGTGAACACGCCCTGAAAGTTGGAACTCTGCGCACACATTTTTGGGCCCCAATAATTGAAGAAAAATTTGTATAAACCAGAGAACATACGGGCATGCCCGCAACAGGTAAAATGTCTATAAACCCAATTGCTTAAATCAAGAAATTTTATATCAATTACTACCGGTTCTTTACTCTGTCAACATCTATAATTTGTGCAAACCTTGATTTGGTTGTAAGGTCTGCTTTCCATTTATTTGAGAGGGGTGTTACGAGCTAAGTGGTGCACAGTTGTGACCATAGATAATCTACATTCTAACTAGAATTCGATTATCCTCTTTCTGGAGAATCCTCCTTTGGAATTCTCCGTGAAGTCTCCTATCTCTAGGGACTGTCCTACCACAAATTTGTACAACACCGACCGTATAGCCAGCATCCTACTAGGTTGTGGTTTGGGGTGGGTCCCAGGAGTCGAGGGAAAGGGGTATCAGGTAAGACTTCTCGACCCCGGGTGGTGGGTGGGCTCAAAAAATCTGAGAGATCCTGAGTAGAACGGCCTCGAGGGATCTTCAGGGTGCGAGCTATGAGAGAGATGAAGATGGGGAAGTAGAGAGATGTAAAAACTCTGTTTCTCTCTTCCTCCCATCTTCCTCTACCTCTAAGTGACATGTGTATCTACACCTGTGACATAGGAGTCCTCTCAAGCCCGCACCTATCTCGCTCGGCACACCCCTCCTTCAAATGGAATGTAGGGTACCTCCGCAGGCTCTGGGAACACAATCCATCCATTTATTCGAGAGGGGTGTTACGAGCTAAGTGGTGCACAGTTGTGACCATAGATAATCTACATTCTAACTAGAATTCAATTATCCTCTTTCTGGAGAATCCTCCTTTGGAATTCTCCGTGAAGTCTCCTATCTCTAGGGACTGTCCTACCACAAATTTGTACAACACCGACCGTATAGCCAGCATCCTACTAGGTTGTGGTTTGGGGTGGGTCCCAGGAGTCGAGGGAAAGGGGTATCAGGTATCTACCTTACCCCAATCCCGACCCCCGCGACGTGAGGACAGTGCCCGAGAAGTAAGACTTCTCGACCCCATCACTCATGGAAGGTAGAGCCGTGAGCCCGAGAAGTCTAACTCCCCAACTCAACTGACGTGAGTGTTGAACTGACGCCTCCTCCCCTTATCCCCACCGCTGATCACTTTGTTTACGCCGGTCTAAACTTTAACCCGGTCAATCGAACTAAACTGTATGTATGCAGTTCCTGCATGTCTTTCTCACAAGGTTCTCTCGGTATTCAACAGTTCAGTACTTGTGCTGTTGAATATCATGACTCTCTTACTGAATTCTCTCCACAAGGCTTGAACTTTATTTCTTGACCGTAGCATTCTCATTTCTTAAAGTTTCAACTCTTTCAGTAATTGTACTGTCTCCTTCAGCTCCTTGTCATCAAACTTTCGCAGGTAAATCTTGTACACACCTGATGCCCATCTCCCTATTCTCTTCACTTCTTCCCTCGTCGCCCCTAAGTTCCACCTCAACAAAGCCCCTCCGATTCTAAAAGAATGTCCGTACAATCTTTGCCTGTTTTTCGGTCTGTTCTGATTCCATATATTTCTGTATCTTTCAATCAGATTCGACTTTCTAAATACCAGCCCTTTTTCTCCTTGTGTGTTAATCACAAACACTTGGTCAGTCGGCTTCCTTGGTCTAAAGTCGTACAGCATTCTCAAGGCTCGTACTGGATCTATGCATGAGTTTTGATTTTGTAAGTGTATATATTGAATTTCACCCGGCTTTGCCGTCTTCGCACGGTGCATCGCAATGCTGACATAACAATCGTCGGGTCCCCATTCCACCTCATCCCAGGTCGGTAGCCAAGCCTTTGGATCGTCTGATACCAACTCTCCCAGTCTAGCGCATCCCCAGAATGCTACCAATGCGATTGTCGTTGCCACGAGGTCTACTTCGTTCGTCATATCCCCCACTTTCGCTAGTTGTACGAGATCAGATATCATCACCGGGGGTCTCTTCTTTTCGATGTCCTTGTGCCTCAATTCTACTATTCTTGTCGCCTTCAAAAGTTTCGATACTGCCAGTTCTGAACTCATCGGGTATTTGCACTTATGGAATAAGTGCCATGCCTTTATTCCTGCTAAGTACAATAAGATAGTCGTTGATTTCACCGACTCATCTTCTTTCGCTTTCGATACTCCTTTCATCGATGCCCACACTACAAAGCGTTCTACCAGGTCCTCTGATATTGGTAACAGTCTTTTCCGTTCGATTTTCTTCACCTCCGCAAATCTCATTAACTTTACAATTCCTGAATTATAGTGTTTTAATGTTCCTTCCCGCCAAGCTCCTCTTAGGAAGTGCATCTGAACCTCGTCTACTCCCGAACTATCAACTCCTAACGCGTCTTTCTTAAAGGTTCCATATGGTTTTGTCGCTCTTGATAACCCCCTAAATGATTTCGCGTCTTCTATTCCTAGGTTCTTCGTCGATTTCCGTGGCATGTTGCTCCTTAAAGATTTGGGGTATTGGTGGTCGGAGGATTGAGCGACACTTGGTGTATCAATTCTCTCAAATCACTTGGTATCTCGATTACCACTTCTTCGTTCCAATTTCTTCCGGTTAATACTCCTCTCGACAGTCCGTCAGCAAGGTTATTTTTCGATGTAACTCGTTTCTCTTTGATGTTACAACCCAAAACAGTAAGTAGTCTTTGTATCAGTTTCATCTCTTCGTTCACCCTCTGGTCCTTTGATTTCCTTTTTCTGATCGCTGACTGGGTCGTCGTGTTGTCCGTTTCTACCCTAAACGTTCTTCCTCTTACCGCCGTCACCTTTGCCAAAACTAACAGGCCTAGGCGTATTGTCACCGTTTCCGCCCAGGCTATGTTACGTTTTCCTTTGGTCAGCCCTTTTACCAGCCAGTCTTCGTTCCAGGCAAAGCAGGCCCAACTTCTGCCTATCAGAATCCCGATCCTATTGTTTCGTAAACAGACTTGGTCAGTTCAAGTGTTTCCCGTTTCTCTTCTTTCCTTTCCTCCCCTTCACTCACCCATACGATGACGACGCATCCCCCACCCAGTCTACCACTTCTGGAATCCTACTGGGGACTAATGTACATGCTTCAAATGTTTCTAGACAGATCTTCCATTCGACCAGATCTGCTACCACGTCCTCCGGTGCAAATCTTCTTGCTTCAAGATTCCGCCATGATTTCAACCACCGATAGAATGAGCATAGGTAAGCAGCCATATGGGGGACTATGTGTATTGTGTGGCCTAATCTACCCAGGAACCTTTCGACTTGGTCGTGTTTCCAATCTTTCTCCGGTTTCAAATACTCGATTACTTGGGTAAGTCTTTCTTCAATCTTTTCTTGTGGGAGTCTAACCGAGTGTTTCCTTCCATTCCATATGAAACCTAGGAACTTCTGTTCCTCTGCGAAGTCCCGGTTTTTCTTCTGGCTTGTCTTCACTCCCATGTCGTTGCTCAATTCTACGATGTGCTCCAGTTCCACTCTATCGCCAGGTCTCCGCAATATCAGACTATCATCCACCCATCTAAAAACCATCGGTATGTCTAAGATTTTCACGATTATCTTTTTCCACGTTTCTGCTGCCGCCCCAAACACTCCGCAACTTGCTACCCCACCAAACCCCACTGACAGGTCTATCCATACCCTCCCTTAGAAATCCATCACGCACAGGAACCTTCTCTGGGATGGGTGGAGGCTTAGCTGTCGATATGCCTTCTCCCAGTCGACTAACGCCTTTTCCAAGTCTCCGGGGTTGTCACACAGAAATTTTGCAACTTTCCTGAAGTCGTCCCAGTTGGTCTCATAATTCTTCTTATCTACAAACGCGTTTACTGAGGGTATTCCTGGTTTGTTCTTAGGGTACAAAAGGTCGTATATCAGTCGCACTGAGCCATCTCCGTTTACTGAGCTTCCCATTGGATTGGTTCGGAAGAAGCCGAACCGTGCGTAAACTTCCTCGTGTGTGAAAGGTCCTATGATCCTTCCTGCTCGTACTTCTTTTGCTAACGTGTTCTTTATTTCTTGTTTTACTTCAGCTGCCGATTCGTGATTTGGGGGTGTGTACCATCTTTCTTCTCCGATGGTGTGTTGCCGGATACCCAAGCAGAATCCGTCCCTGAACCCTTCTGTGATGTAGGGTATGTCGTCCTCCAGTCCTACTTCTTTCATCAGGTACGTCCATTCTCTAATGTTCATTCCTGTCTCCACAGCTGCCGGCCAGTCGCTAATTACCTGGGTTTTGAATGTTTGTCTTTTGCTCAAAGGTAAGGGGATTTTCACGTTCTCATCTTCTGATTCCTCCACCTCTTCGTCGCTCTCTGACACTTCTGAACCTCTTTCGAACAGGTCCTGTTCGTCGATCTGTCGAGGGCTTTGTTGTTCTTCCTCGGCCTCCTGAACACTTGCGCCTCTCTCCTTTGCTGGTCTCTCTCCGCTCCTCAAGTCCTTCTTTGTTCGACTCACTTCGGCTCTCTCGGTCAGTTTCAGACTTTCTGAAAGCTCTACTCTCTCGGGTGGCTCTCGTCTACAGATGTTCATTTGTCATCTAATAGTCATGCGTGGCAACAAAAAGGTTTCTATTTCATCTCAGACACTACTACTTCATTCTCAACTTCATACAAGAGACGACCCGCACCATTTAAACATCATTTACCCCAATTCAGACAACGTCCCCCCAATACCCCGGTCATCACAATTCATGCGTATCACCGTAATTACCATAGGATTGGATTTACCAAAAAAAAGAAAAAAAAAATCTTCTTTTGTCAGTTCCCGGTTTTTCTCTCTCCACCGTATGCCTTTTACTTACGTTTGTCCTTTCCCATACCCTTTCCCATTACCTTTCCCTCCTCTGTTCGCAACCAATGCCTGGTTATTCGCGTGTTTCTGGCCCAGTGCTACCCACTCCTTCCCCGTTTGCTTCTTCCGGAAGTAGGGAGGTGGTTGGGTCGTTGCCGATGTCGACGTTTCCTCCTGATTGTTCCAGTGCCCCCGATTACCCCCTCTTTGTCTCCTGTTCTGTCTCCAACCCGTCTTCTTGTCTTGTTGGAACTTAGGATTTTGGTACGTGGTTGTTTCTTTTTCCTGGCCCGTTCTAAAGTCAAATCCGAACTTCTTCTGACCTGCGGCGTAGGGGTTGCACTGGAACTGTAGGTCCCCGGCCGTGTGAGCGTCCCAACGGGCTTCCGTCGCTGTCTCCTCGTCCAGTCCTTCCGGTAAGACTACGTCTTCCAACTTCCTCTTCTTCTTTCCGTTTTCCTCATACACCACCGAAGATCTCACCCTAAACGTCACCGCTCTTATCATCAAATGATATCTTAATGCTACCATCCAACACTTGTTCTTTCTAGCTAACATACTAACTATTGATTTGTGCTCTTCTACATATTTCGCGTAGTCATCATACTTGTATCTTTCTTTCGCGTATCTGATTTCCAATTCACAAGCTGAGATGAATTCACCGTACGTCATTTGTTTTTCCAATTCCTCTCTCGATTGGTGATGACCATCCCATTTCTGCTTTCCATCTTTAGTTTTCGGTGTTGATCTGTACTCGACGATGTAAGCTGCGTTGAATACTGTTAAAGGCACATAATATTTCATCTTTCTGAAATTCTTCTCCCATTGAGGGGGAAGGTCTGGTAAGTCTACTGCCGTCGCCTTACTGAATCTAAATGTGACTGGTTTCTCAATTTTTGACTTCTTTTTCTCTTCTTTTGATGAGTCAGATTCTAAGTCGGAGTCGTCATCCGTGTTGTGTGGGTCTGAGGAAGGTGTGTGTTTCTTCTTCGTGTTTTCCTCTTCGGATGATGAGTCGAAAGATGAGGATGAGGAGGATGAGTCGTTATCTAGGATCGCCGGTTCTTGTGTCGATCTCCTACTCGGTCTTGTCTTCTTCATTTTCTCTTTTTCTTTTTCCTTCTTCCTCTTCTCCTCTCTTTCATTCCTTTCTTTCTCTTCTCTCTTCTCCTCTTTCCTCCTCCTCTTCTTCTCCTTCTCCTCTCCTTCCTTCCTTTTAATTCCTTCCGCAGTCTTTACTGATTGCATCTTGTATTCTTTTCTCAAGGCGTCGATATCACCCTCTCCTTTCCCTTCAAGGGCTTCTACTAATCGGTCCAGCAACGGTCTGTCATCTGACACCGGTCTATTCTCTTGTTTCTTCTTCGAGTTCATCGACTTCTTTTCTCGAACCGACTCTCCGTCTGTTCTAACTGTTTCCCCAAAGAGCCGAACAAAAACGAATAAAACATGACACCCATCATCAGTTTTCATTTTCATCTTCAATCACCAGCTACTACGCTTCACGGAGCTGCCTCTCCTAGCCTGCTTCTACAGAATATGCACTGGAGCGAGGGGTCTTTCGACCCCCTTAGGATCGAGGACTTCCCCTTTTGGTCTGTCTGGGATTGATTCCCTCAGGAGCGCCATGCAGCTCAACTCTGACATCCCTCCCCCCATGATCTTCGCAGGAATTTCACTTACTTTGATCTGCTTCTATCAGGTATCCAAATTCCTCTTCATTTCCTCTTCTATCGCTCCTTTCCTGTGACGAGACTGATGAAGACCTTCTCTTTGCTTTTCCTTTCTTCCTCTTTTTCTTCTTCTCCACTACCTCCACTTCTGATTCCGATTCTTCACTTTCATTCGTGTCGGAATTGTTGAACATTGAATTCGGGTTATCATCTTTTCTCTTGTCTTCTTGCACTTCTTTAGGCGGTCCTTCCTCATCTTGATTCCTTTCACCTCTTTCCTGATGCTCGTCTTCTTCTATCATCTCTCTCTTGATCTCTATAGCCGACTTCCCACTCGTTGTTGTCGGTGCAGGTCCTGATGACGTGCTCTGGGTTACCGGATCTCCCCCAGCACTTGCTCCTACCCTTGACTCCGCTCTCTTCTTCCTCATTTCTGCTTGCTCTCTCTCTTTCTCTTCTTGCATTTTCTTCTTTTCTTCAGCTAACTTTATCGCTTGGATCATATGTTCTGATTTGAAATTATTTTGTTCTGTTGACTTCTTCTTAAGTTGTCGCCACATTCAGCGTGTAACTGTGTCTGATTTGTTGATTCTAAGTGATGTTTTGTGTGAAAAGAACTCTAAGTTTTGTTGTCTGAGTGTTTGTATTAACTTATTTATATTCTTCCTTCTGTTTGTTCTTTGAGAGAAAGTTTTGTTATTTCTAAATCCTGATTTAAGTTTGTTCTTCTCTTCTCTTAGCTAGTCTTTCTTCTGGTCTCCAAAAAATCTGAGAGATCCTGAGTAGAACGGCCTCGAGGGATCTTCAGGGTGCGAGCTATGAGAGAGATGAAGATGGGGAAGTAGAGAGATGTAAAAACTCTGTTTCTCTCTTCCTCCCATCTTCCTCTACCTCTAAGTGACATGTGTATCTACACCTGTGACATAGGAGTCCTCTCAAGCCCGCACCTATCTTGCTTGGCACACCCCTCCTTCAAATGGAATGTAGGGTACCTCCGCGGGCTCTGGGAACACAATCCATGTTCCCTAAACTTAGTTGAAGCACAAACAACAGGTAATCCAAAATAATGTACCATCCCACAGCATCAGGCTCAGAGGAAACAAAGTAGCAACTGGGTGCCAACACAGTGGGGAGAGTTGCAGTATCAGACTTACTCTGAGACTACCTGAGACTATCCCTGAGACATACAGGGATAGTATAAATATTTTCAAGCGGCGCCTGTTTTCCAAGAGGGGTGTTTCTTTCTATTCCCTGACCTTCTCGGCCCTACCCAAGCCTGTACACAGGTCGTTTGTAAACAAAAACGATTGCCTCCAAATGAGCGATGGATCAGGATGGATCCATGTCTATGTATGTACATAGATCATAGATGACCTTGATCAATGAGAGCAAATTGCCAGATCCACTGAGTCAAAAACACGTTGGATATGATATGCCTATGATATTTGAAGGTAGAAGCAAACTACTTCAGTCCGATCAATCAATCAATCACTTTTTACAATCTCATTGATCCCATCGATCATGCTTTTCAAGATCATTGCGAGATCTATCCAGAACATACCTAGGATATGGGATAATCTTCATCTCGAAGATTTTATTAAGTTTTGTGTACTAGGTGGTGATGTGCTCTATCGTGCCGGTCGTGGTCTCAATTTATTGGAGGGCAATTCTTGGAAGCGGCAGTCTTCTATCAACGACAGGATATGAGGTGTTCAAAATCAAAATGGACATCTTTGTGATGAAAAATTTCACAAGAGGCATTTTTTTTGTTGCAGGGAGCTGGTCAAGACCAAGCATTGGGATCAGATTTCTGATAAACTGTACGTATGAACCACACATTCCTACCAGCCGCCACCAATCTGTGCGTTAAGTGTACAACAAGCCACTTTATTTTTGTGAATTTTGGATAGTCTCAGAGATATTCTCAGAGCGAGATAGTCTCAGAGTAAGACCGATACGGTTACGCTCCCACACAGTGGGTTTGTTGGGAAGAACTAAAGCATGAAGGAATAGACATGCTAATTACAAAAAACCTAGGCTAGAGTCTAATCAAGGTAACTTCTTGGTCTTCTTGATGGTTTTACCAATTGGCTCTTCCTCATGCTCAACTGGTCTTTGATTCTTCACAGCATCTATGACAGTCTTTGACTTCTTGAATATGCTTACATCGAGAGCCAACTGTATTAGATATGAATCCATGCAATTGTTTTCGCGTACAGTCGGCTCTTGATGTAAGCATATCGATGGTCAACAGATTCTCCTTGCTTATATTGTGCAATGCATATTGCAAAAGCATAATATGCCTTTTGGGCCCATGTATACCAAAAAAAATCCCGCAAAAACTATGCATATAGCAAGATATGCCTATGTCAAGCTTGCTTACATCAAGAGTTGAATGTACTGAATATTCCTACAATACAATTTTTGTGCATCTTGACATCATCTTGGGATACATGGAAACCTCAAATTGTGTCTTATTTCAATATGTCTCAATCCAAACTGAGCTGTGTTTGCAGTTTGCAGACCATGAAAAGGAGATTTTATGTACCATTGACCCTTGATTGATCTTCCCTTGACCACTGATATTATCATCAGATGAGGGTATCTGAAGGCCTTCTGATTTGAAACATATAGCTTTGAAAGAGGCCAGCCAATTTATATGTCTTCACCAACTTGTATAAACTGATTCTTAGCCTTCCAGTCTATTCATATGCATTGTTTGTTTGTGAAAATACCTAGTTGATTGAGTTGATTGAGAGTCAACATGTGAGACTTCCGATTCAGTGGAATTTAACAGCTAGACCATCAATAGAGAAGACATCACAAAAGGGTTATAGGTATGTAGAAGGAAGATGAGTAAGAGTTGGCCAAGTCAGTGTCATTGTCAGAGTATTGGATATTGTCTAGCAAATTTGATGGTATCTGGATTATTGGCACTACATCCCATCAGTTGGAATGAAGCATTTGTATGAAACTGCTTTCACACATTTGAAGTACTGAACATCTCCATAGAATGCATGTCTTGATTTTCAATGAAACCTGTTTTACACTTTGAGTCCCAAAATAATTGATCCCATAGTTTTGCAAATCTACTTATCAAAAAGCCCCACTGAATGGCTTCATTTTTAGCCAAGCATTCTGACCACTTGTCAAAGGTTTGCTTACATAGTCTGAGTCATACTAAACATTCCACAATCCTTTGGGCCTCATATACACCTTGATATAGCTTCATACCATGAGAGACATCTGCCTCTGAGAATTTGAAGGGCAAGGAACCATTATATCCAAGGTTTGAATAATGAGGAAATTTCCACGATTGTGAAGGTTGACCAAGTGAGATCTATCATCAAAATAAATCCCTAAAAACCCCCTGCAGAGTTGGACCTGGCTGGGTTTTCCGGCACTGCAGTCAGGCAGGCCCCGAACTCGAGCTACATAAGCTCACGGGGCACGCTGGGCCCGAGTCCTGGTTGCAGGGCTTCAAATATGACAAATCAGGTGAAAAGGTTCTTCCGGAATCTCTTATCACCACGAGCCTCCCTGGACGGAGTTTATCAATAACGATGACCATCAAAGCCGGACAATCGGTTAACGCAGCCCTCAAGAAAGTCAAACTTTATTCACCTACTCCATCAACATGTTCAAACTTTCCACTTGGTTATTTAACTTCAGGAGTTCATTGTGGAATTAAATCTATAAAAAAAACTCATCATCTCGATTTAGGTCTTATTATTTCTACTGAACCTGAAACTGTAGCTGCTGGTTGTTTTACAAGAAACGTTTTTAAAGCTGCACCTGTTCAATTAGGTATTCAAACCTTAACTCAATCTCATGGTCAACGAATTCGTGGTGTGGTTATCAATAGCGGTTGTGCGAATGCGGTGACGGGAAAACAAGGAATGAGAGATGCTGAAAAGATGGTAGAAGAACTTGATGCACTTCTTAATCGTCTTGGTTCTTCGGATACGAAAAGTAAAGACAAACAACTCAGAAATAGTCTAGTTATGTCAACAGGAGTCATCGGTCAACTTTTACCAATGAGACGAGTACTAGGTGGGATCGAAAGTAGCTTCAAAACACTCGGAAACTCATTCGAAGCTTGGTTATCTACTGCACAAGCTTTTATGACGACTGATACTTTCCCTAAATTAATTACTCATACTTTTAAGAGTGGAGGAAAGGAGATCAGGTTAGCTGGAATTTCTAAAGGAGCTGGTATGATTCATCCAGCTATGTCCGGTCCACCTCAAGGCACTTTACTCGGTTTGGTTGCCACTGATGCAGCGATTGATGCGAAGTCACTTCAAGTTGCGTTAAATCAAGCGGTTCAACGATCTTTTAACTCTATCTCTGTAGACGGTGATATGTCTACCAATGACACCATCCTAGCTCTCGCCAACGCCGCCGCTGCAAATCCCCTTATCTCTCACCAGCCTACGAATGGCCAAACGACTCCGGTCGAGTTTGAACAATTTGTGGATGAACTAACTGGTTTTACAACTCGTCTTGCTCAACTTGTAGTCAGGGATGGTGAAGGTGCAACAAAGTTTGTTAAGATCACTGTAAGAGGTGCAGATAATGTAGAAGATTCACAAAGAGTAGGATCAACGGTAGCACGTTCAGCCTTGGTGAAATGTGCACTTAATGGAGAAGATGCAAATTGGGGAAGAATACTATGTGCGGTAGGATATACTGAAACTAAAGTGAAAATAGATCCAGAAAAGGTTTCAGTGAGTTTTATACCTGTAGGAGAACCTGAAGGGAATGAATTGAAGTTATTGGTAAAGGGTGAACCTGAAATAGTGGATGAAAATCGAGCAAGGAAGATTCTGGAAGCTGATGATCTACAGATCCTTATTGATGTTGGTGGAGATCCAAAGATGGAGATAAGTTATTATACTTGTGATCTCTCCAAGGACTATATCGGTAAGTAATTTTTCATCGCTAATCAATCCTTATACTATACAACTATGCTTCCTTTCACGTGATCATAAGACTTCTGGTTCCTGATGATTAATGCGTTTGCCTATTTCACAACAATGCGTTCATTCATCCTATCATAGCTATAAATGCGGATTACCGCTCATAAATACCCTCAACTGGATATGCTTGATCATTTGATAGTTATATCTTGTGAGCACATATCGTCACAGCTGGTTCATAAGTGGCTCGATTTGTATGTTTGGCTGCCTGGGCAGCGTCTTAGGTTGATGGGGACCTCGTGCGTTTTGAAAAATCTGGCATGATGATCAAGTCCTCTTGAAATACCAATGGGGTGTGTGTGTGATTCATTGTATGTTTCTTGGTCTGACTTGTAAAACATTATGGTGGCAATTGGAATTTGCCGAGGTTGCTATCAGAGCAACCTGGGGCCCTCGGCAGGCATTCGCCTGTGCATCCAGAATGTTCATACCCTGTATGGGTGGACGGCAACGTGATGTGACGTGAGGCGGACGCAAAGATTGAGTTTGGAGGCACAAGGTGAAAGAAGGTGGATGTGCAAGGTTCGGTCAAGGATTGAGTATCAATATAGTTACGTAAATCTTGGAGCCAAAGATGTCAAAATGGATTGGTCTGATGTACAACGGTGAGGATCGTGTTTCAAGGTGGTGTCCGTTGAGCGATGCGCCATGATAAGATACAAACAAATGTGATAGACAACGAATTGTCCAAAGATCATGATGGGCGAATCAGAAAATAGATAAAAAAGTCTATCCTAAACATGAGATGATGAAGAAATCAAATGTTTTGTCTGGCTGGGAAAGGTAAAAGCGGTGATTTATTATCGGTGAGAGGATTGTCACGGAATAAAACCTCTAAAGGGTCTAAGATTGAACCTCTTTATCACAATAACACAAGAGTTAGATAATGATCATGTTTGCGTAGGAAAAGGAATGTGTTTAAAGTGAATGAACTAACTCTTGACCGCGTTGTGAGTTGGGTGCACCAAGTTCAGCAATTCCAAGTTGAGGAGTAGGGCTTGTAGATGCCGAAGCTAAATTGGAAAACCGTAAAACAGAGTGAAATATGATCAATGTTAATATCTACCTATTGATGGGTATCACGTATTGTAGTCGAAAGGTAATTGGGAGCAAGTGATGCCAGAGACTTACCAATAAGTAAAGCAAAAAGGATACCATAAAAGATTGAATTCATCATTTTGATAAAATATATATTCAAAGTGTAAAAGGTTGATGATATAGGAAGTAGAGAAAATCCAAGTGAAGAATCTGATCTGATGTGATGGGGTGGTTGGGATGAAGTATTGGAATGAAATGTGAGACTCAATTTATAACACTTCGTTTGACTCCAAAAGAATCGGCTATGTGGGTTTTTTTCTTACCTCCACTTCTGTGGGTTCTTATTTGGTGTTAGAATAATTAATTCTTAGGCCGATCTCTCTGCCTTAACCTGCTCGGCTCAGAGTGAAATATCTACGCATTCATATAAATTCTCAAAATAACTGACTATAGACCTTACATTTCGATCTGGTAGCATCAAATGAAAATCAGATCGGTTGTTTTTGCCTGGTTCAAAAAAACATTTAAGAATCTTGAGATTTCAAACGAAGAAGCCATCAAAAGAATGGTTTGATTTGGCATCATCTTTTTGATTCAAAATGCCAACCTCCACCTTCAGTGCTTCGGTAGAGCCTCGTTGACACGTCTTCTGAACCCTCCACCTATCTCCTCCACTCCTCCACTTTATGTAGAAAGAGATTTGAAATTCCTCAAGAGGTTAACTTTTTACATAATTTCAAGCTTTCTTCCATTTCTCAGCATGAACCCATTCCCATCTCTCGAGTCGTTTTTGCGACCGAATATCCACATGCGCTAGTGATCTGCACCCCTGATGCATGAAATTATATCTCCTATCCTTTCTTTTAAACTGCGCATTTGCAGTTTTTGAATCAAGCCTTACCTCCGCTTCCACATGCATCAAGTATCTGTGTACATCTTATCCATCTTCTCAGGATGGTGTTACAACTTCACTCGATGAGAGCCTCATAGAATAGACAGTTTATCTGTTTAAATTCCTTGCACTACATAAGTACCGGGAGGTGTCTCGGTTGGGCGAGCAAAACAATCATAGCAGCAGGCAGGACTCTGGCGTAATCGGAGCGTAGATAGTTTGTGTGTGAGTCATAAAATCATCACCCATCGCTCACAAGTCGAAGTGGAGGTAAGTCGTGGCCGTGAAGATCTCTCCCTGATCCCTCAAATCCAAAAATCTGAGCGGTCCACTCCACTGTCTTCACATAATCAATTAGGGGATACAAAGTTGAAATCCGGCCGAAAATCTGGCCGCGTGGCCAGATTTCCAGATTCCATTTTTTTCTGGCCACGACTTGAAATTTGGCAAAAAGAGAAATCAACAGATCACTGGCCAGTTCTTCACTCACCTCAATTCCATATCCGACTCAACACCTCAATCTCAAGATTTTCGTTCTCATCCAACACCAGGCACCCAGAAATCCTTCCTTACACTCTGAGTCAAATCGATCTTCATTACATTCTCATTCTCATTCAAATCAACCTTATCCTCCTTTATGGAATTCAACTAATCATCGAGATCGAGTGAAGATTACGGATTTTTTGAATAAAGGACAATTAACTTCAATGGTACAACAGATCGGTAACAGATCATTTTTCTTCTCTTGATTAATACTTTAAAAATCATATTCGATCTGATTTAAATCTATTCTACTCTTTTGGTTTTGGTTTTGTTTTCTCTTTAGCTGCTTCATATCAATTAAAAACACTTGAACATGCGATTTTAGATGTTTTAACTCAAGCTGCAGAACAAAGACTCTTTCAAACCTGTGGATGAATGAAACTGGCAGACAATAGCAGTTGATCTTAGTCCAAAGACATCCTCGATCTAGAAGTTTTGTTAAAGAGTCACTTTTCGGAACTCTGAATTTTGTATTAGATCCTTTGTATAATCTTTTCACACACGAATCAAATCAAACAAGGATACAGATAAGTTTAAGAATAGTCAGACCAGATGGAATCTTTGTGAGAATTGAAGTCAAGAGTTGGTCTTTTTCATCAATTGAAAGATTTGAGATTGATCTATCATAAGGTTCATGTTGTGATTGATTAAATTGTAAGTTTGGTTGACCGAGAAAGCTGCCTTCTTTCAATTCTTGTCAGTTACAGCAATTTGATGGATTTGTAAGGCTTGAATCATGCGTAAGAAAAATCTATCCCGGCGAGATTGACTTGAAACATTGCAAGTGAGTCTAGGTTGTTCTGAACATACGCCTTTCTTGCATGTCGTGCTGTTTGAATGGACCTCTTGAGGGCTATTTTGCGATGGTATCGAGTTGTTGCTATGTGAAGTGGGGGCGAGTCGTCGATATTGGATGTGGGACTGGTGGTGTAGTGGAAAGTTGGCATGGAACTTGAAGTCGGGGGATTCAAAGTTGAGAGAATCCGGACTCATGTCCAGATTCCGAATTACCGCAAAAAATGGAATCTGGAAATCTGGCCACGCGGCCGGATTTTCGGCCGGATTTCAACTTTGTATCCCCTAAATCCAAATTGCGGCGGATTTTGCGGCCGTGGCTTCCATTGTGCGCGACCGCGAAACGGTGCCGGATCGAGCGACGGAGTCGAGTGAATTGCCGCAGGAGGATGCGCCGATAAGCTCAATGTATGCGGCGGGTATTTTTTTGAATCGCGCATCAAAGAGGTTTCGAGTTTGGTTTCTTTTGCGTATTTTTTACATACAACTTCGGACAAGTTGTTGATAGAAAAAAACTACGTAAAACCAAAGTATTTTTAATTCGAGACACCTGAAAAGGTGTCCCCCTTCAAAAAATTGACGCATATTCAGCAACGCGCAAGTTGTCGTGTAAGTTGAAACCCCAGCATCTACCAGGCAGATTTACAAAGTGGCTTTTAGCTACAAGGGTTGTGTTGTAAGGAGAGATCTAGCACAATAAATTTATCTTTCCCGCTGTTCAGAACCGGAGGAAATGACCATGGCGGCACTGCGCACAACACCGAGCCTTGTTTCTGATGGAAAAAGCAGAGTCCGCCCGATGTGAATCGTGTAATCAAAGAGAAGACACGAAACAGATTCTGGTTACATAACGGTTCAGTTATGTGATATGTTGAATGGAAACTAAAGTAAATGCCGTTGATTAGTAACCAATCTTTGTAATCATCTTCATCACATGTTCTAGTGATGTTGCTTTAGGTAAACTTGTTGATAAAACTTTGGATTGATTGAATCATCAAATAATTCGTACAAGTCTGGATTTATCAAAACTGTGTTTCTTATTTCATGGTTCCCCGCCGGTTTCACACATCTTTGGTGTTGAGCTGTTTGGTGTATATACTTTTTATATCAATTGGCTGATATGATTAATCAATCATGAATCAAAGCCTAATGATATAAAAAGCTAATCATTCTCATTGATTTGTAAGAACTTTTCTTAGTCTTCTTGATCATTCAAGGCTTTTTGAAAATACAAATATCTTCTTTTGTTTATCTTATTGAACCATCAATCTCGCGTTCAAATGAATCTTCACATCAATTTCATCATTGTTTCAGCAGCTGTACTGCGTTGCGTGATTGCAGTACCTATTGGGCTGTTTCCAGATGGTTCGTAAAATTTCCTTGAATACTTCCATATCCATATGGTTTTTAAATGTAACCTGGACTTCCTCGCGTGACATCAATTATCAGAAGTCTTGAATGTAGAAAGCACCTTGAGATACCTCAACCCAAGTGCATCCCTAGAATTTAGTCCAGCAAAAGATCAAGGAAGAAATTCTCACATGCAATATTTGAAAGGAGTACAAGTCATCAAAAAGGTTTTGATCAAAGACGTTCGCGGGCTCGAGGATCAATTCAAATTGGACATACACGGATTCTCTTACGTTAAGGATAAAGTCATAGGGCTTGAAGATTGTAAGAATGACAATCAGTATGGTGAATTACTAAGACCAGCTGCTGAAGAGCTAGTAAAAAAGATGTAAGTATGTCATAGAGGATCATTAGCTCCATGAATGTTTTCTGATACGATTCATGATACGCAGAACCAATGCCGATGCAGTTGTTGCCTTTGAATCTCGGGTTCGAGATCAAGAGGCTAATTTGAATGATATAGGTCGCAGTAGAGCGCCTGTTCCCAGTGTTCATGCTGATTTCTCACCGGAAGGTGCACAACGTGCCATATTAAATGCTATTGATATCGCCCTTGGATCAGATAATAAAGAAGCAGAGAGATTCAAGACTCTTGCTCAAGATGAATCCAATAAAGTTGTGATCATTAATATCTGGAGACCTCTTCAAGTCATCAAAAAGGATCCATTGGCTCTATGTGATTGGAGATCAGTTGACATAGACAAAGATCCACAGGCATACAACCCACGAGGTCCTGGAAGAGCCGCTTCTATGCAATGGCGTTATAACCCAAACAATCGATGGTATTGGCTTAGTAATCAAGATACAGATGAGGTGGCTATGTTTGTACAATATGATAGTGCTGCAGAAGGTCATATGACCTTACCTCATGCATCATTTAAAGGACCAGGTGATAAATATTTACCAGCAAGAAGAAGTGTCGAGGTAAGAGTGATGGCAGTGTTTTCCAAGGATTCAGATAAGATGCAAATACAAAAGAAGGTTGTATAGAGCTAGTGGATCCGTTCGTATGATCAAGTTATCATGACATCTTGTTTTTGATCTTGTATCGTCATTCTTACCTTCTTACAGAAATATTATTTCTCCATAAAAGTTAAGCCCCCCGCCATGAGGTGTTGTCAATGTCATAACCATTACAAGTACCGTGACTAGCAGATAATAAAGTCTAGACCTTTTGATTTCTGTTTTACGGTCATCGCATCATCTTCTTTTCTCTTATGACATCCTATTCATTTTACTTCCTTCTTCAATTTATTTTCTTGTATCGTGGTTAAACTTATACGAGCTTTAGACACTCATAAGATTGAATGATACTCACTACAGTGTAGTTTCTTTTTTCTCTCATTGATTCTTATAGGTTGTTTCATCTTGATCATCAGGCTTGTGTTCTCAAGTCACTTACTGAGATTTCTTCTCGTGATTTCAAAGATTTGAACTTCTTATACCAGCTTTAATGGAATGATCTTCAATTCTGAAAGAGATCTTCTATACATAGATTTTCATGTCTTACTAGACTGTGTCTGAGAGGATGAGAAACACAGCCAAGAAACAGTGTGACATATGTCTAATGAAAATTTATCCCAAAGTTTACATGGCAAACACTTGTTTTGGACGAGTTTAAATGGGAACCAACCACTTTGTGCTCCTTGAGAACAGTGATCACATTCCCTTTTGCTCCGAAAATTTCAAGTGGAACTGTCGCCTTCCACAACCAAAATGATCCTCAATTGTCAACACAAAGTGTTGGTTGATGGAACACTTTGGTGAGCAGGTCCATTGGAATGGTCAATCAGGCGGGAACTGGAGTTAATCTTTTGGCACGTACTTCTGGATACAAAGAGCAAGAAGTTCAGTGTCCAAATCAAACCGGACCAAAACCCACTTTTTGTGGTCAGGACAAGACGTAAGCTAGATGGGACAAGTGCTCGCAGGCAAATAATTGGATGAAAGAAACCACAACTAAACAATGATAACTTCGCAATTTATTGGCGGGAGTAAAAGGTAAATTCCAAATGATGTAATTGTAGGATGATAATCTCATAGTCAGTAAAACACAAAAGGCGCATACAACGTAATGAAGCGGAATATCTCCATGAAAGCAAACATTTGAAAAGGTAAGTAAAAAGTGATATTCTTATACCTATGATAGTATCTTTCGCGACTACAAGGTTGAGGAGTGTGAAGCTAATGGGAACGTAAGTGACAAGGATGTTAAGATTGAAGATGAATGATCAAAAAAGAAATCTTTGGAATAGACTTGATGAATAACTTTGATCTTGAATTTGTTTCGAGCCTTGATCTTCTCATAGTAAAAGGCTAAATCCGATTTGATGAAAGTAAGAAATCCAAAGTTTAAACTCGATTTGAATCGATCTAACATTTACCAGGTAAAGGTCTGAATCTATAAAAAATCAAATCAAACATCAACTCAACAAAAACTTATAAATCTGAACAAAGAAAAAAAAGTGAAATGAAAAAAAAAACCCGAAAAACAAACTTGAATCTCCAACCACTCATTTCCACAACGCCACCTTTCTCACATTCCAAAATCTCTTTATATCCAGCTTGACAAACTTTATTATTAAGTCTAGTCACATTTGATGATAAAGTTTGAACTGTAAAATCATATTTTAAATTTGAACCTGAACTTAAACATCTTCTTGCACTTGAAGCCACTGGATAAGTTCCAGTTAAGGTACGACAAGTTACTGAAAAACCTTCTAAAACTTTTGATTTATCTGATCCCCATGAAGTTCCAGCTGTGTTACATTCTGATCTGACATAAGTCACTAAGGTGATGATTAAGATGAAGAATGCTTTGATGAAATGCATATTGATATGAAGATAATGATTCGAGGATGTGTTTGGGATGGAAGTTTCGGTAAGAGGTTTTTTGTGTAAAGGTTTGGTTTAAGAGAAGAAGGTTTGATGGATGACAGTTCAGGTTGATGATCTGAGCTGATGAACTTCTTCCGACATGGGGGGAAAGGTTAACCATCATTTTATATATCCACAACTGAGAATCACAGTCAGAGTAACTCACGCTACAGTCGACATTATCTGCGCGATGATACATCACAAATACCCTCTCGCAAAAGATTGTGATATATGTGATATGAATTGATAGTCGAACCATTCAACCCTCACCAACCCTTAGATCAAATTCCTTATCTGATGAAGCGTTTCCCCTTGACCGTTAATAAGATTTCAAAGTAGATCATCTTGATGACCTTGCATATAAATCGACTAACATAAATCAACACTTTACCTAAAAAGGAATTCATCAAATACTCAACTGATGGTAAATAAAGTCGTTTCTAAAAGATTCAATCACATTCATTTGATAGAGACAATTCCTAAAATATATTCTATGTACTATATCATCACCCAGATAATTCATTTCATGACTCATGTTTCGATACATTTCTTCATCTGGCGTGTTAATATTATCTCGCTCATGGATATGTTCACACATCAAACCTACCATATAACATTCATCAACAGACAGTTGATCATAGCTAAAACAACATCTAATTCACTAATCTCAGTACATGTACCAGTGAAAAAAGAAATGACTAAAACTAATTCACTTTCTCCCATTTCTATCATCTTCATAATAACTTCAAGGATGCAGGGGAAAGTTGTCTTATCAGATAATAACGTCTCAAGACTATCTTTATCGAAAGTTTTAGGCTGCATATTCCCAATGTAAAATAGTGAAACGTATTAACTGATGAACATTGAGCTAAAGAATTCCTCAACTATGGCTGAAGATGCATAATTTAACTCAACCAACTCCTAGTCGTCGGTAAACGATCATCCATCGGTGGGTGAACTAGTGTGATCAATATGTATGCGGGGCAGTCGGACCGGATATCACACGGTTTTTCTCTCAGATGAGATGCGTTTGACCAAGTCATGTGAGCATTCCATTAGTTGTTTACCTTGACCATCCATCATATCCAATAGTAACCAATTTCCAGTTCTTCATAACCTTCAAGCTCTGTTCTATAAACCATCTTTCAATCAATAAACTCAACGTCTTTTGTTTTCTTAATTCCCATTCATTGATTTTAAAAAGAAAAACTAAAAAACTTATGTACAAGCAAAATGAAAAAAGCAGGAAACAACAATTTAAGAAAAGAGAAAGATATAATATGAATCAAGAAAACTTTTTAATTTGTTGGTTTTTGGTTTCTGGTTTTGGTTTGAATTGAATACTATGTAAATTGCTGTATCCTAATCACCAAATTCAAAAAGAAACAAATCAAGTATTTCATATGCCGAGAGAGAAAGAAGGATCAAAAAAAGTCTAGCATACTTCCAATCTTTAATATTTCAATCCAAAATAAACTTAAGCTCTAAACCTAACGACCACTTCCTCAACATTTTTCTTTTCTTTCTTAATAGTTTTACCCAACATGACTTCCATGAGAACGATTTCTCTTAAACTCAACTTATGATCCACAACTTTAACTTCCAAAAAGATCATCATCTTACTTCCAAACCTTAAACTTCTAATCTTCATCACTTCTTCTATCGATGACCAATCTATCAAATTATCTTTTCTTTGAAACGATGTATTTAATAAATTCTTTAAATCTTCTTCAAATGTTTGATTAGTCGATCGATCTACTAATTCTTGAAATGATTTTTTTCCTATTTCATATCCACTTGATAAAATCATTCCACATACAATAAACCCTCCAATAGGATCTAAAATCGTTAACCCAAATGAAGATCCAACCTACCAAAACCAATCCCCCAAAAGAAGCTCAGAAGATTTCTTTCATTTGAAATTTAACTCAAGACTTACAATCGCAAGTAAAGCCACCAAACTACCAAAAGCATCACTTCGATGATGAAGCGCATTAGCCAACAAAACATTTGAATCCTCTGCTTTACCTACCCTATAAGTCATCCGATACAACCATTCTTTGACCACCACACTTAACAGAGCAAAATAAGCAGCCCTAAAATCAACCGAATGATCATGATCATGTGATCCATCTTCAGATCCATGTGAATGGGAATGAGTATGAGGTAACGAGATCGAATCGGGTAACCAAGTTAATAGGTTTGAAATCAGACTTGATTGATCGAGTTGTGATCTAAGTGCTGTGATGAAAAGTGAATACGAATGAAATCCTATAACATTTTTCAAAAAAAAATCAACTTGTTCATTAATCTTTCCTTAAATCTCAAACCCATGCTTTTTTTCTTGATGATCTAAGAAAAACTGTAAACGAACCGATTCCTAATCCACCACTAATCAAAAAGAAAGCCACAATTAATGAACCAACCGATTCATATTTACCTAACCGAATCAAATCCAAACAAAACAAAGAAAAAAATCAGTAAAAATTAGATCTTGATGATGATGATGATCTGGCAAGAAAAATTCACATACCATAACCAAAAGGATAACTTTGATCTTTTGGTTTCTTAGACCAATTCCAACAAAACAAAGTAATAAAATCACCAATCAAATCTGAAAGACTATGACCTGCATCAGCCATCAAAGAAGCAGAAGATAAATAATATCCTGCAATTCCTTTGGTTAAAGTTAACATAATCTAAAACCCCAAACCCAAAAAAAAACCAAAAAAAAAAAAACTATCATCAGTTTCGAAAAACCAACGAAACTTGTTTTTTTAAAACAAAGGAAACTTGTTATTTTTTTGTGTAAAAGATGGATTGATTTTTTTTCTTACATTTGAACCTAAACCGATCAAAGTCACTAAACTTCCTTTATCACCTTGACCTCTTAATGCATCCAACAAAGCTGCTTGTTCTTCTCCATCTTCATGTGAATGATGATGCGAATCTGATGAATGTGAATGAGAACAAGGCATTTGATGAATGAATAAGATTGATTTGAGTTTTTGAAGTTCGATTGATGAGTTTTGTGATTGAGTGATTGAGTGAGTTGAGTTGGTTAAAGTGGTAAACTGAAATCCTGATAGCTGTTTAAATCGTTCTGGTGTTGAGTGGTGATGTGGTGGATGGATAAAGTATTGTATTTTGAAATCCAGTTTGTTCAATCAAATTCTTGAAATGTACAAAATTCAATTCAATCCAAAACTCACAATTCATCCCAATCCGTAAAATCCTTAACCTCAAAGCCATAAGATTCCACTATACATAGACCCATATGGTCTCATTTGCTTTATAGAATGCTTAAACTGCGCTATACACATGCGTATCTATGGCAAATGAACCTCATTCAGTTTTTGAAAATGAATAAAAACAATGGGCTTGAAAAGATTTCCCATTTGAAGAGAATTTTCTCATTCAAAGATTTTAACTCAAAGTGCTATCAAGAAGTTCATCAAATCGAAAGAAGTATCACATCTCTCAGTCTCCATAACACTCACCTCTCTCCGTATAACCTTGAAGAAGAACCTTCATACTGGTTCTCATAGGCTTTAAATTTTTTATGCACTATCATCACAGCCTTTTTCTGATGTGTATCAACTCATGAAAATGTAGGATCACATGGTACAGCAGGTATTGATGGCTCAATCATAAACAAAAAAGTTTTGTAAACTTCATAATTTGAACTTTGCAATACAAGTTTAATTATAAATTTTGTAAAGTATGGCTCAAAGTGAGGTGTAATAGATGCCAAAAAGACATTACAGTCACCATTCGCAGAGATGAGTTTAGTTCTACATGACAAAAAACCAAAGAGAATCAAATAGATCAACACAAAGCCACAAAAAAACACAATCAAGAATAAAATTCCCATCAAAAAAACTTACACTAGCAAAGACCCAATCATGATTAGCCGTCTTATATTCACTTAATTCAGCTTCTTTAAACCACATTCCAATCTCATGAGTAGCCGATTCAAAGCTATCAGAAGCATGAATGATATTACGACCAACAGAGATACAGTATTGACCTCTGATTGTACCAGCTTCAGCCTAAAAAGTTAATAGAAAAGGAAACCATCAAGATTAATAGTTTTGGTATCAATTAGGCTTTCTTTGTAAGAGACTGATTCAAAGTTACGAACCTCTAGAGGGTTTGTAGCACCAACGATCCGTCGACCTTGTCTAATCACATCCTGACCTTCCCAAACCCTACAAAATCAATCCAATGAAGAAAGTAAGAAAACCAAAAGAATCACTATGAAAATCGATTCACTTACATAGCTACCACCGGTACACCACACGTAATATATTCCACAAGACTAGGGAAAAACTTTCGAGCACTCAGATCAGCGTAATGATCAGACGCTAATTTTTTAGATGGTACAAGAGATTTGATCGCCACTAGTTTATAACCTCTTTCTTCCATTCTATTAATCACTTTTCCTAATAATTGTCGAGCTGTTCCATCTGGTTTAAGCACTTTTGATACACACAAAAAACAAAATCATCATCGGTTAGTTTAAGAGATTATGTTGGATTTTTCTTTGGGGAGTTGGTAGGAACTTACTGATAAATGATCGTTCTGTAACTGTACCCTTTTCTCCTGCAACTGTCTTGGCTCCTTCAAGTTTAAAAGGTTCTTGAACTGCACAAGAATATCAAACCAACTCAACCCAAGCTTACGGTCTCAAATGATGAAAAGTGATTAGGGTGTTCTTTGGGAAAGAAACTTACAAGGATTCATAACCATTGATCCGGCCAAAAGAGTAGCACCACCAATGATCCAAGTCAAGTTTCGGTTTGATTGAGAAGTAGTACATCTGGTAGTAAACCTAGCCGTCAAATTACTTGATCTTGGTATTTTTGGAATCGGGTTGGATGTAGTTCTGAGTGAACGGGTAAAAAGGTTTCGTGTGGCCATTTTTAAAGAGATTTGATTGAATGAATCTATTGTCAGGTCACTGGTCAATTGGATTGCTGATGAGCTTCGATCGATCGATCGGTCTTTTCCGAATTACATTTTAAGTTTCTAAAAAAATTAAGTCGCTGTTATGTGCTTAAAAATTGAAGGTTTTGAAATTGTACGTTGGGGTACACCACGGGGGCGTCCTGACCGCCAAAAGGTCATCCTCGCCGGCCACCACCAGACGGTCGCTCTGTGCGGAGTGACTGCCCGTCAGCAGGTAGTCAGTTTGGCGACGACCAAGTGTCGAACTGTAAGTCGCCTGACAGCTCATCGTAAAGGCGCCTTTGCTTCGCCAAAAGTGTAGGCGTGCGCAAGCCGCTGGTGGCCTGCAGGCCAATTTGACTATCCGCAGGCCACCAATTTGGTCGCGTTCAGTCAATCTGGGCTGTTTGGGTAGATCAAGCGGGGCACAAGCAGCTCGGAATCAAGAAATGGGCATAGCCCAAAGCCCAGTGCATCAATAGGCGGTGGCATGGTCAATAGTGGCAGATTGGAAGAATAGCTTATTGAATGATAACAGATGATTCAACAGGAATCAGTTGAAACAGGTTGAAAAACATGGAAACTATTTTAAATGGATGATTTCAAGTTTGATTGATTTGTGTAATTTAGATGTCACACCAAGAACAACAATTGGAGATCCAAACAAAAAAAAGAGAAAAAGAACAGAAAAGATAAGCACTGTGATGAATGATTCCATTCTCTACATCAATCAAAGCTAATGATTTGGAAAACAAAAAGGTATAGATTAGTTTAAGTTGAATGGGGAATTTGATTCTGATGATTTGATTGGTCACATAATTATCTGTAGTCGAGTTTAATTCACGACTGATAGTAGTAGGAGCAACTATCAAATCTTCTAATCAAGGACCGATCCACTAAAAAAAACCAAAGACAATTAATTCCAAGAGATCGAAAAGGCTTCATTGAAAGTTGTAATAATAGATTCACTTACTTGAGGTGCGGTTCTCAAAGGATAACAATATTGTCTTAAAGTTTGTTTAGAGATCTCAGCACTAACATCTTTTTCTTCGTGATCAGTATGATCGCTAATTGACTAGATTTCAATAATCTATCAATCGTTTCTGCTACTTGGATTTGACCAGGATGAGGTCTAGCAGTCACATGAATAAATCTAAAAATTTCTCAAATCAGAATTGAATCAGAGTGAATCACTGGATTGAAATGAATTCAAAGGGATAAAACTCAACAAATGAAATGAACCGATTTGACCCAACAATCCTCTCCATCTCGATTCTTGATCTTTATATCTCTTCGGGTGGCAAATCAAACGTCAATCATGGATCGAGCTTGGTAATGTGGCCTTTGCCATTAAAGTTCTCACAATCCTCATTGTATACGAGCCTATAAAAGCTGTCAGTTCAACTTCCAAGACTTATTAGCTGGTTGAAGGACAAAATTGAAGCAGATAAGGAGAGTTCAGACTTACGCAGTGAAACGACGTCGCAAGTGGTCACACTTGCGTTGTCAAGCTAAATACACAAAACTGAGAGTTGTAAGTCACGATGATTCCACAAGAAACCAAAGGACCAGGATTTTAACTGAAGAGCTCACGCGAGAGACAAAAAAGACGCAGGGGTGAGGACGCAACACAAGAAAAGTTCGTACGCAGGGGTTGAGGCCACCATGCAGCCTCTGATTGGACGTTGTGTGCCCTCCAACCTTTGGCACGCGACATCCAATCAGAGGCTGCATGGTATTTCACCTTTTGGCAATCAGTGAAATTGCACAGGCCGATGAGTGTTCCCTCCAGAATTTTTGGAAACCAGACAGTGACTCGTGAGTGAGCCACTGTCAACACGCCAAGGCCACGAGTTGTTGCCCTTTCAGGATCCGTATGTAATGTGGTGGTGTTTGCTTGCATCTGTCCCGTCATCCACATAGACTGATTGAGAGGATGAGCTCAGCAAGCAAATTAAGTCTCGTGCTCACGCTTACTTGGCTCAGCAATCAGTTTTGGAAAGGTGCCACGCGATTTCGCGCTGACCATGCGAGGACCAAGCAGGCGGTCTATAGGCCCGCAGGACGCGCCTACAAGTCCCGCTGCTGGCTACTCTGGGATTAAACAGGGGCGGCCTGTGAAGGCCAGCCCAGGGTGGCCTGCAGTCTGGCCAGGGGCGAGTCTCGGGTCGGAAACCGACCTGACGGATTTCAGACTGGTTGGGACCAACTTCTGACCCAGGATCCCCCCGTGGTGTATAGTGGGTAGTGTCTAAAAGCGTGTAATGTCGGGCCGGCCAAAAAGCTGATTTATCAAAAACTCCATTGTGTGAAAAGAACTTTCTCTACTGTAAAAATTGCTACAAACAATATGTTCAATACAATTTTGGATTGCTATTGATGTGAGGATTCCAAATCTGCCCTCGGCATCAAAATTGGATCAATTTTGTGGGTTTTATAAATGTTTTTCTCAAAATACCTGATTTCACGCTTTTAGGCACTACCCACTATACCATCTCCAAACCACACTTTCCAACCAAAACAACTCAACCAAAACAACTTTGAAAACACCGAATTTGTTTCTTCTATCCAACCAGCAGAGACCAGAACGGGATTTGCAAGGCATTGAAGTCCAACAAAAATATTTTCTCACTGTCACATTCTGGCTTTCTAAATGAGCTTGACTTCAATGAGCTCTGCTCCAAGTAAATGGCCCAGTTATGGGTTGCACTTGTTTGAGAAAAGCATGTAGAAAATTGGAATTGATTTCAAATTCTGAAGGGAAAAGAAATCAATCAAGATCAGATTTGAAGATAAACTTGGCAGTGGGTTTACATAGTATACCTTTCTTAATTCTGAAGTATTTGATTGCGTCACTTCTTAAGAAAAGAAAATCCTATGTTTGTGTATTGCATGCTTTCTTTTGAAGTACCAAAAATGATAGACCACGGTTTGTTTATGACATCAAGAATCAGAACACAAAGAAACCTATCTTAGAAATCCCTCCACAGTATGACAAATAAAGAATTTGAACACATTTGGTATAGTAAGAAATAAGTTACAAGATCAACAAGTTATTTATAAGACCTTTCACTAGATAAGCTATTTTTCTACCTTTGCGTATTCTTGGGTACCACAGCCATCACTCTGATCTCCATACTTCTTCTAGTAGGTAAATCTTTTTCATTAGAACCTTGAAATGATGCATGAGGCAAAGTCATATGACCTTTAACTTCACTATCATATTGTACAAACACAGTCACCTCATCTGGTTTTTGTTCACTAAGGTAATACCATTTGTTTTTAGGATTAAAGTGCCATTGCATACATTCATGTCCTCCGGGGCCTCCTGGTCTACATGCATGTTGATCATTAATCACGTCAACCGTTTTCCAATCACACATCGTAATGGGGTTTCGTTTAACTACTCCAAGTGGTCTCCAAAGATGAATGACGACTAATTTCTTGTTAGGATCTTTCGAAAGACTTTCTATCCTTTTCACATTTTCTTGATCTGAATTTCTTTGAATCGCTCTACCTACAGCTTCTTCTGCACCTGGTGCCGAAAAATCTGCATGTACACTAGGTACAGGTGTACGATGTGCACCTTCACCTTCCCAACCTGGAAGTTTATCCCGAATTCGATAATTGAAAGCGAAAACTGCTTCGGCTTGAGTCCTACAAAATCAGATCCGTAAATCAGAAAATTCCTTTTAAGCTGATTATTGAGAATCATGAGCATTTTTCTCTTTCACTTACATTTCTTTTACTAACTTTTCAGCAGCTGGCTTAAGTAAGGCTTCATACTCTTCATCAGTCTTACAACTCTCAAGTCCTTTGACTTGGTCCTTAACATACTCAAACCCATTAACGTTCAATTGGAATTCTTTTTCAAACCCACGAATATCTTTGATCTCTACCATCTCGGGCTTTTCTACAATCGACAAATAATTCAAATGTGCTTCTCGTCCAAGATCTTCTGATGGACGATATGATAAGGTGGCGTCTCTGAGGCGGAAATTCAAGGTCGTCTTGACGGTCAAAGCCTCTGATAAATCATATCCCAAGAAAAGAAGTTTGGGTTAGAGTGATATGTAAATCGGATGTATAGCAAATCGTTCAAGGAAAAAGACAAACGATCTAGAAACGGGGAAGGCATTGCATTCAAGTGTTGCCAAGATTTTAAGGCTGCAGCAATAAACATCAAATTGATACGAAGATTCATCTTGATACAAGAGCGGTGATCTGATGGTGGGAAAAAAAAAAGGAAATTTTGGTTGCAAGAAGCTAAACTGTAAAAAAGCTTCCAAAGAGTTAGTAGAAGAATGAAGTGGGCGAGTTTGTCCGAAAGGGAGAAGCTCGACTTGACTTCTTCTTTTATACCTTTTGTGTCAGCAGGCCAATGGGAATCTGATTCTCAGTACCTCCATTTTTCGATCTGCTACCACACTAATGCAGCAGGCCGACTCAGAGTGCCCAATGTTGAAGATATTAGGCGCAATCAGCAAGAAAGTTGCAATGTGATTCAGACTTGGTGAAACGATTCGTACTCGATAAGCCTTGCATGTGGATAACCCACGTAAGATAAATTTGAGCGATTGAAACATTTGTCAAGAAATGAAGTACTGTAGATCTCATCCAAAGGAGTGGACAAAGAGGTCACACTGACAGCATCACGAGAATAAGATACACAGAGACAGAGAAGTTCAAACAGGGTGTCTAGAAGAGCTCAAATATAACTCATCATCGACGTAAGATAACTTACAAGTCAATCGTATACCCAAGTGTACACCGGAGCTCAAAAAAAATTCCATCAATTTTGTATTTGAAAAATTGATGTTAGAGAAATCTACCTCAAGATACACAAAGTGACGGCAATATATTTCATCATAAGACCGACTCACCTGAAACAAACAGCTTACAAAATGCTTCAGACCATGAATCTATACGAATACAACCGCTCTAAAACTTATACTTGGACATGCACACTCAACTAAAATTTGATTACGAGATGGGTCAGAGTCAGACACGAGTAAATATATCATTCAGTAAGGTATACAAGTATGCAGAGAAATCGGTAGATCGATCTATGCATTTTATTGGTCATCAATCCATGCACGCAAGAAAAGAAAGCAAAATCGGTAAGAAACGCGCCAGAAACCTAATACTTGTAAAGAGACTTGACGGTTGTTCTTCCGAAATCAGTCCTCTGGTGTCAGATGCTACATCATGAACAAAACTCACTTGGTAATTTAGTACAACACAGGTTACAAAGCCATCCAGGCTTGGGATATAGATCGGGGATTTCACTTAAGAATTATGCTGTGATGTGGTGAGTCGGACAGGGATTGATTTAGACGCGCGTATGGAGTCGAGTCAGGCTCATCAGTATGTGACATGGATTGACTTGAAAATCAATGTAGACACTCAAGACATGGGAGCAAAACCAGTAAGAAACACGTGAACAACATTGTAGAAAATAGATGGCTGTCCTATATAATATATGGGGGATCTCACCTAAGGATTATCCATCGATGAAGACACTCACCTAAACTTCAATTGCGTGGGGCCGGGGGTTAGACACCCCTATTGATTTCAGTGAGGCATATACGGAGGGACCGATACACCAATAAGTTGAAATGAAATTCAATCTACTCCCAAGACATGAGAGGATTAAACCCGTGGGAAATCTGCTCAAGAGCCTCAAAAGCACATCGGTGCCTTCCGGAAACAGTCCTTTGCTCACGATATATTCCCTCCACGTAGGTGTGATTTGTTGATGTGGATACTCGGATGCACCTTAACTTTGATCGCAGAGTGGGTAAGAGTCCAGACACGCGTATAGAAATCAGTCAGGAAAATCAATGTGCGGAGGAAACCGGTACATACAACTTCAATGGATTGAATCGAAGATCACCATCCAAATTGTCAAAATATGAGAGTAAAACTGGTAAGAAATACATGGACAGCATGTTGCTCTTCCGGAAGAACTAGTCCCCATCGTTATACGGTGGTAATCATCATCAACACTCCCCGGTACCAAGGCTTGTAGTCACAGAGCCATCAAGTAACCCGTAGGAAATTGCGAGGATGTAAGCCTCTTTTCCGAGTTCAATCATGATCAGCCCAGGGTGAGCAGCGCTCTTGTCCAATGTCTCAAAGTGTGCGCTTTACTTCTTATGTCATGACCTTCTCTTATCACACATAGTTTGACTATCTTGATGATTTTGATTGGTCCATTGAGATGAGAACCGCTTTGACTTTTCCTGCTGAAACTTCATGCTTCAGCAATTTTCTCAGATAATTGAGGTGGTTCTTTGATTGTGATATATATAAGCTTGTGTTTTTCAGAGTCAAAGTTTGAAAAATCTGGTTCTTGGTGTATTCAGCTGTCTGAAGGGAATCAGAAAAATGTAGATTTCATTTCTCAACCATTGTAGATCCTATTAAACCCCTTCTAAGATTTCATTTTCAAAGGATTATCTTGATGTTCTAGAACACACATTCAAAATATCCATCTAGTAGACCACATGCATCTCCATACTACTGATCTTTACCCATATCCCCAAAGGAATTTCACTTGGTTCTATCAAGAGAATTCTTCATAAAACCTTCTCTGCACAAATCTTTATTCAAAAAATCCAATTTCATACCCCTTTCAATTTACCTATCCTCTTAAAAGCCTTTGGAATTGCTATAAACACTTCTAATATCTTATACTCAATTCCAATACCTTCTTAATGCTTAAAAAAATGACTTGAAAATGATGTTGATCTCTTGCCTCCACACAAATTTAAAACACCAAAAGAAAAGTACACTAAAAAACTAGAAAAGTGAAATTAGATATTGTACTATTATCAAACTACAAACAAAGGAAGAAGAGTTTGGCAAGTATGAATTATTCATCTTGTAAAATTTATTCATAAGGATATGTCAGATTTAACCTGAACTTGAAGCTTCATTACCATCAAGTCACAAGTCATTACATTACATCATAATCTACTTGACCGTTTCTCTCTTATATGCGTTACACTATCTCGTCAAATTTGTTCAAACTTTAATTATAAATATTTTATAATTTTTAATCACGATTTAGTTAAAATACCTTTGGCTTCTGGTCTGTATCATGAACACCTTCTTTACAGCTTACACGTTTCTTTTCTTTTGTTGCCTATATGGTTATAAGGATTCCTTCTTTAGCTTTTTCGTTTCTGACTCATCATCAACTGAGTTTTCTACGGGTTCCTCTTACTCATATAGATTCAATAGGTATATGCAGTGTTTGTTTACCTAGTTTTACCACTAGATACAAATCAGGTCAACTATCTGTTAAGATACTCCAAAACCAATCGAGTCAGACTTTAACAGGGTTTCAGGGAAGTCCGGCAAATCTCCTTAGGCTCTCAACGCTCTTCTGGTCTTCTATCACACACACTAAAGAAGCACAGATACAGATATCATATTCCATTCACTTTCCTTCCTCCTTCACTTTCAAAAAACTTCAATGAATATACGAAATCCAAGTCAGATAACCAAAGAAACAAATAACTGAAAAAACCAAACTACTTAATCTTGAATGATATTTACTTATACAAAGCACAAACTACTTTTTTTTTCTCATAATCTTACTTCACTGAATATTGAAAATGAATTATATCAATTCAAACTTTGGTACTTCACTAAATCCAAAGCCTAAGACAACTTTCTTAACTTCTTCAAGATCATCATTCGATCTTTGAGTTTCTTGAAAACAATTAATCTCTTGAAAGATTTCATCAAACTTAGGTATCTCATTCTTGGTCATCTTTTTCACTTTCTCTTGAGTTTTCTGTAATCCTTCTTCTTCTTCTTTTTCTTCTTCAATTGGCTTTAATATAAAATATATCAAAATTAGTTAATTACTCAAATGAGTAACTTAAAGAAGGTCAGAAAATCTAACCTTTTTGTTGATCATTGGATTAGGTGAAACTAAAATCGGATTGACTGTAATGGTCGGTGCTGAAAACGAAAAGGTTTGATTGGTTTTAGGTATTATTGCTTCTTTAACTATGAAAAAATCATTCCCGATCATCAGAACAAGAAAAAAAACGAAAGAAAGAGTAAAGAAAACACTTTTGAACATACCAGATAGCTTTTCTTCCTTTTCTTGTACCACAGATGTATCACCTCCATTCTTTTTATTCATGGCCATTTGTTTTTTAATTAATCGATCAGGTAATTTCCCTACTTTCTTTTTCGGTCTACTATCTTGATCTTTTCGATATATCTTTAAATGACACATCAATCATCAGAATTAAATCAAAGTACTCAAGATAAATCAAGAACAGGTAAAAGACAGATGACTTACATCTGGCATGGTCCGTTCTAATAATTCTTCAGCTTGCATTGGAGCTGGTTCAAAAAGCTTTTCAGCATTTTGAGTTTTACCAGTATGAATATCTATCCTTCTCTGTCGATCAACTTCTTCCTCATGTGTGACAGCTACAGCTTTAGCCTTTCTTTTAGGTTGAGTTCGTCTAGTTGGTCTTTCGAGATTAGCATAAGGGTTGATGACTTCAGCTCGTTTCACAGGTGATGGCATTGCAATTGATGGATTGTTTTGGATCAATTTGGCATCTACTGTTTGGATAGCTGATTTGATGATCGAAGACGCAATCGATGATCGTTGTTTCCTTTTGGCTGATTTGTTGGTGCTGGGTGGGGTTGCTTGTTGTTGGACTCGTCGAGGTGGTGAGGGTGTAGAAACTGGGTTTTTGTAAAAGAAAGGTATCAGTTGAAAGTATCAGGCAGACATTCAAAGAACATGAGGTGAACGTACCAGATGGTAAAGTGACATTGCGAAGTGGACTTGGACGAAGCGGTGTAGCGCTAGTGGTTTTGATGAGTTTTACATTTTGATGTTGAGCAGATGAATGAGAGATAG